TCCTACACAGTACAGAACCCAGAAATAAATCTTCTCACACTCTGAGAAAACGGAAAGATAAGAAGCCAATCAAAACTTACAAGTTTTTGTTTTGAATTGACTGTAGTAGTTCCCACATGGGACAAAAAGTAATGTGACTCTCAGCCTAGGAGTAGCTTGTAGGTTACTTGTGTAAGCAAGACTTTGAGATTGTGTTAGTAACAAGAAAAGGGCCAGGATACCTAAAAAAGCATTAATAATGAAAAGCAGCACACAGGTATGCCAGTGAAGAGCAGGGCTTCGGTGTTGTACGGAAAACAAACAGTTGGAATTGAACTCAACAGTGTCATGTGTTTCTGCCACGGTGTCCTTGAGCTCCTGACAACTGTCATATGCAGAGGTTCTCTGAGTTTGAGTTTGCATGATCAGAAATAAGTGTGTAAACAGTTACATCCCCGTGGCCTGTGTGGAAGAGAGTGCAAGAGCTGGTGCTGTTCTTATGCTGGCACAGGAAGGGAAAGGAAGCCCAGCCTTATCACACTGCCTTCCGTCTGGTATGTTTGGCACGATTGATAGTTCAGTGCAGAGCATGTTTTAGTTGCCTGTTGCTGCCTAAGGCGTTATGACATGCAGTAGTAGAAGCTTCATATCTGGCAGGTTCTGATAAGCCTGTAGACACAGTGTGATGACTTGTAGGCATCATGTTTTTTGAGCATTATCTGTGTTAAATGGCCTGTTCTCAGAACCTCTCAGATCAGAGCAGTAAAGGTCAGGGTCTTAGCCCCAGTAACATTTAATGTTTCAGCTGAAGGTTATAAGAATGAACTAATAATTGCTCATACACTAGAAGATGATGGCTGGACAGACTTTCATATTAGGCATCTCTTAGTCACTGACAAGAGAACTGAGGTCCAGAACTGACTCAATACTGCACAGAGTTGGATACGTTTGCTAGTAGATGGCTAGAACTGAAGCTTTAGGTCTACACACTAGCGTGATATTTTCTTTGTTTTAAAATACCATACATCAAGTTCCAATTATGTGTCATAGACTGGAAAAGTTCAAACATGTTAAAGAAAGGACGATGGGTGATTTAGAGCAATCAACCAAGAATTAAAGGAAGGGCTATGATTTGGATGCAAGAATTAAACAGTGTAGAGAAAGCAGAACAATGCAGCCAGTGAAAACCAAGGATGTTTGCTCTTCAGATTGGCTCAGAAGGTGCATCCTGAGCAGGCAGGGGAATTAGGTCAGAAGGACTTTGAAAGTGGAAAATGTTCTTGACCATGGAGAACTTTTTGTCAGTCTTGGAGCATGGAATTATGGCCTAGTGGGGATGAGCCTAAGGGGAGAGCATGTTTGTGCACCAGAGCTGAGCAGTGACCATACTTTAGTGTCCTTATCTGTTAGTGGTTTTTCCTTCTGTCCAAGCAGGTTAAACAGAATTACACAGACTAGGCTAGCTTGTGTTGTAGTAACAAGTGCACCTGGAATCCCAGGGCTTAAGTGAACAAGTGGATCTCTTGCATCTGTACAACACAGGAAGATAGGGCCTGAGTGGGAGTCCTGTCCTTACTCAGGACCTTCTCTGTGGCAAGGTAGAAATGGTTGGAAGAGCAAGTCTCACTCATGTCTCATACATAAGCCACGAGTGACAGGTCACTTTCCCTGACCTCATGGGCCAGCAGTAGTCACACATACCACAGGGCACACATGCAAGGACACTGGAGGTGTCTCTTTTAAGGCTCTCAGAGGGACATGTGACTCTTTGTTTATGGCGCAAGTGTAGTGTGGGTGTAAGGACCCCAGAGCTCAAGCTGGCTCCCAACTGACTGAGGCTCTGAGCAAGTTCCCCACTTCCTTGGGCAGGCTAGCTTTCTAATGAGGAGGCCAGGGGTGTGCTTAGTAAGTTAAAACTTAGGCTGAGGGTGTAAATCAGTGGTGCATTTACATAGTGTGCTTGAGGTCCTAGTTTCCATCTCAGCACCTGCACCCCCACCCCAGCCTCCTCAGTGGAGCCTGAAGGAGCAAAAAATTCATAGCGCAATCTGCTGTGCAATAGTTGGTAGGTTAGATGGTTATTGGTGAATTCATCTGGCTTTCTGGATGGCATCCTAAAGATAGCCAGAGTTTCTGACTCTCAGTGAGGGCTTAGATGGAAAAGGCAGTAGTAACATAGGGGTGCAACAGTCAGCTTGTGGGTGTGGGTGTGTTGTGGCACTCTGAAGGATGAGCAGAGAACATTCAACTCTGATGACAGAGGAGGGAATTGGGTGCAGGTGATGAGGACAGCAGAGATGAGGTTTGTAGAGAAACTACGACTGTTCTTGGAAATGGAGTGAGGTTCAGATAAGGTGATGGAGGAAGATCCTTAGCACAGAAAGCCACAGGAAGTAGAAGCCTGGGGCCTAGTGAGAGACAGGAACTGCAGTGGTTCCTGGTGAGCATGTTCAGTAGGCAGTGGCTCCATCCTCCATGTGGCCTTGGTGTCTGGTCTCAGCGTGGTGAGGAGTGTAGTACACACAGTGACTATGTAGATTGACTGGATGCGTGGTAAGATTGGTGTGTGGTAAATGATGAAGCATAGTCATTCCTAGTTGTGGGCTTTGCTACAAAATGCCCATTGCTGTCAGTTGTAGGACCCTCAGAAGTCTGGCCGCCCCTCACTTCTTGTTTCTCATTCTTCACTTGAATACTCTACCAGCAGATTTTTATTTTTTTAGCTTTGCAGAAAATGACAAATTACAGCATGCTGGGAAGTTACCAAAATAGATAGTTTTAAGGGCTAATTTAAGGTGGGTGCTTCCCTTTTTATAGTTGCTTACTGCCTCTCCTGGCTGTTAGGACCATCACTTTTGCCTCCTAAAACACTAGACTATTTCCAAGCAGACCGGTCATACTGCTGTCTCTAGTTTTGTTGTTGATTTGTTGTTTAATGAGCTCTGGTTCTCCTCACGGCTAGTTTAACCTGAAGGATCTTCTAGTACGTGTGTATGTGTATCATCGGTCATTGGAGTAATTTCTTGTCATTGAGAAATTAAGAACTCGAGATTCCAGTGGCATTACAGTATTAGTAGTCATGCAGAGTATGTGCTGTTCAGTTAAGTGATTGTTTGAGATCTGTCTTTGTGCCTTCACGGTGTCAGGTTTCGTGGGTCCAGGTCCCAGGTCTTCCTGCAGCACACAGCCTGCAACCTCTGACCTCCCAGGGGTGAGTTGCCCTGTTGAAGGGTTTTGTAGTTTGCTGACCTAACATGGCAGTAAAGCCTCTCATGTCTGTATTTATTGTATATGATCAGTGGCTTCATAGCTAGTCAGTGGGATTAAGGCTCTCCTCCCAATCTTGCCTCTGATTGACTAGTTGCCTTTTCTGGATTTAGTGTGAACAAGCGTGTCTGCTCTTCATGTTCACAGAATTGTGGAAACCAAGAATGTGTAAATAAATGCAACTTACTTTATAAAATTCTGAGCTCTTCAAAGTAATCTGTTATTTACTGTCCTGAACTATCGTGTGTGTGTGTGTGTGTGTGTGTGTGTGTGTGTGTGTGTGTATGAATAAATGAGTTACAGACAGTTTTAAGCTGCCACATGTGTGCTGGGATTGAATTTGGGTCCTCTAGAAGAGCAACCAGTGTCCTCAATCACTAATTCATCTCTCCAGCCCCACATTTAACAGTTAAACTGAGTAGCTTTGAGAATTTTTAAATTAGCTGAATAATCCTTTTAGAAATAAAAGAGATTATAAAAGAGGAATTGGATTAGCTGAATAGCCATTCATTTTCCTAGATGAGTTTTTTTTTATAACTCCCTGTTATGTCAGTGTTAAAGCTTATCATGTTTATGTAGCAAATACTCGGTTTTGATGTCCAGGAGAGTTAAGTGCAAGGCCACTTCCTTTGTTGTCACAGAGTACACAAGTCAGTCAGCACTGCCCTTATGCACCAAGTGTTCCTTTGGTGAAGGGAATCTGCTAGGAGGAGAAGAAAGCTCCCTGAAGCAGAGGCGAGGAGGGCATGCCCAGGTCACGTGTGAACAGTTGCCTGGGATGGATGTGAGCACTGAAGGTTTGTAAATGGGGAGCTGATAGACCCGTAGAATTGAAAACACTGAATAGTTGAAAATAGGCTCACTGGTCACGACTTTGCCAGTGTGCCAGATGACAAGCTAGAGTCACTTACCTCTGGTAAGACGGAGGGAGAAGATGGAAAGCTTAACACACAGTATGTTTCACTCTTGTAAACTGTAATAGCACATGCTTTCTGCTTTGCAGGATCACAGACTTGGCCTGATGAGCATGGGTATCAGTTGTGAGGCAGAGCAAGTTGGTGTGTGTGATGATCTGTGCTCCATTGTGGTCATACAACTATGGAACTAACTTGCCTTAAGGGTTGGGGAAGTGAGGAATCTGTTTCTGATTTTCACTAGTGGACTCTTTCTAGAGATCTGGCTTAGCTTAGGCGACTAGTGCCACCCTGACAAAATGTAGTACTTTGGTCTTTCTGCCTTCATTTGGGAAGTTCATAGATGGGGTAAGGAAAGGCAGCAAGAGCCAAACTTGCACCTTCTCCATCAGACCAACTATGGGTTGTTAGTGGCTTTAAATCTGTGAAATTAACATAATTCAGATCTTACTGTACTCAATAAAGTTACAGTAGTGAGGATTAAGCTCACTTCAAGCTAGGTGCGATAGCAGACACCTGTAACCTCAGCACTTAGGAGGCTAACACAGGACATTTTATTTTTCTTTTAAGTAGGGGCTTGCTATAATACGTATATATAGCCCTAGTACAGGCTAACCTCTGACTCTCAGTAATTTTCCTTCCTTAGCCTCCCAGGTGTTGGGGTTACAAGTGTGTGCCTGAGGAAGATCTTTAGTTAAATGTTTGCCTGGGATACAAAGAGAGTTACAGGCCAACCTTGGGCTATGTAATGAGACTCTTGTTTCAAAAGACAAAGCGGATTAATTTTACTAAAATGAAATGTTTCCTGGGCATACAACTCAATAAAAATTGAAATTATGATTCATGGTATAGTGTTTTATTTCTTCACTATCATCTAAATTGGTATCATTGGCAAGTAAGATGTACTGTACTGGGGAAATTTCAGGGCTGGGGCAAAGCAAATTTGAGCAGGCAAACAGTGCTTAGGAACTTGGGAAGTCCATGCTGCCCATACTAAAGTAATTTCTGAGCAGGTGTGTAACATTACAGAGAATCTCAGCAGGACATGCTGCACACCTGTACTTCCATCACTAGGGAAGCAAGAGGCAGGAGGTTCATACACTGGTCTAAGGCTAGCCTGTCTACATAGAGAATTCCAGCCCTGCCAGACTCTATCTCAAAGAGGGAAAAATATTTTTTTGAGATAGCCCAGTGGTTAAGAGCACTAGCTGCTCTTCTGGAGGATCCATGTTTGATTTTCAGCACCTCTGTGATGGCACACAACCATCTGTAACTCTAGTCCCAAGGGATCTGACACCCTCTTCTGGCTTCTGCAGTCATTGTTCACATGTGGTTCACTAACTTGCATGCAGGGAAACATAAAATAAATTTTAAAAAAGGTTTTTATAAAAGGAAAAATTCCTGAAAACTACTCATTTATAAATTGTGCATTTACTTCCTGATCTCTTTATGCAAGTATGGCAGTTATAACTGTAATCCTCATTGTTCCAGTTCTCATAACCTGTCTACAGCTGTGTAGATACCAGGTACTACCATCTGAACAAAAGTCCTCTCCAGACTCAAGAAAACAAAGCATGTGTGCATACTTTCTGTTCCTAAGAAGAAGGTAGCACATGGATGTGTTTTCGTTGGACACCTGTATGGGAAGCCCCTGTCGTGTTTCAGAGCAGTGGTCTGAAGGCACTAACTGTCCTGGCTGCTCAGGGAAGGGCTTGATGCTTCTGTCGACTCTGTCATCACCAACATTTCTATCATTGCTCTTCAAATCTACCTTCCATTAATTATACTTGGAACTCCTGCTGGTAGTTGACAGTGTCGAATTAATAATACTCTTTTAGATCCTGTTCTTTATCTCACAAAATGTTCTTTAAAACAGTGGTCTCAGAACAAACCAAACAAACAAAAACATATTACTAAGGAGACAAAATCTAAAATTGAAAGAGGTGTAAATTAAGAAATATGTTCCATATATTACAGTATTAACATTTTTACACTGGCAATATACAGTGCAGTCAGTCTTCTTTCTTTTGCCAAACTATTGGCAAGAAATAGTAGTTTCACAGAGCGTTTCTTTTTACATTGAGACTTGTTACGATAGCCTTCCTTTATATATATATTTCATTTATGAAGTAGAACTTGTTTTTGTTGTTCCCTTGATCTGAACTGGATCTCAGTGTGTTGGCTGGTGGGGTGGCAGTGGGAATTTGTGCCCAGAGAGTTCAACTGGGAGGCATCCTGGCTGGGAGTGGAACAGTCAGTGGGCAGAGCCCATCCGGCCGGCAGCATACCGTGCTGTGAAGTCCCAGGCACCTTTACCTTCCATTGGAGGCCTTGGAGTGGATCATCATCTGCGACTCCGTCATTTCCCGTGAATTTTCTTCAGGGGCTGACCTCACTGCACTGGAGATTGACACGCTCACTTGACGTTTGAACATCTTCATGACCTTTCTCTTGTACCCTTTACATGCAAAGAAGTAGATGAAAGGGTCCATGCAGCAGTTGAAATTCATCAGGCACACTGTGAAGTGCAGAGAGATCTGGAAGGAATGTCTCGCTCCGCACTCCAGGGCTCCAGGGGAACAGAGTATCTTTATCATGTGCTGAATGATGGCCATGTGGTAGGGTGTGAAGCACAGGATGAACACAACGATGATGAGGATAATTGTGTTGAGAGCCTTTTTGTTCACACCAGATTTCTCGGTTAGTGGATTCTGCTTGGCAGTCCTGAAGAGTTTGCAGCAAATCTGAGAGTAGCACAGGAGAATGACTGCGAGAGGCAGCACATAGCCCAGCAGGCAGGCTCCAAGCAGAATCCACGGCAGAGATGCGGTCCCTTCAAAGTTTGGATATTCCATGCAAGTAGTCTTGTCTCCCTCCTGCTTAGACATCGGGTTGAGGAGCAGTGGCAGTGTTTGAGCAAAGACCAGAATCCAGACAAATATGCAAACACCCTTTGCATATTCGATTCTTTTAATCTTATTGTAGCGCAGAGGGTGCACCACAGCGAAGAAGCGGTCTATGCTCAAGCAAGTCATGAAGTTCACACCTGCGTACGTGTTGATATAGAACACCAGAGCAGTTATCCGGCACAGGGCATCACTGATCCTCCAATCAAAGCCCAGCGCATAGTAGACTATCCGAGTGGGTAAAGCTGTGGTAAACAGGATGTCGGAAATCACCAAGTTCATTGAGTAGAGAGTGGTCGAGTTGATTTTTTTTCTGTTTTGAACAATGACAACCAAGGCCAACAGGTTTCCCACCAGCCCAATGATGAAGACCAGGCTGTAATGCAAAGGCATTAATATCCTGGCTGTGCTGTGGTGTGCATAAAGATCACAGTTGTTGCCGTGAGAAGTTGCCAGTGCTGTAGTAAAATTGTTGGCCATTTCTGTATCCAGCAGTGATCAGAGTTACTAGGAGGAAAGCGAATGACGACTATTTAGCTAAAACTATTTAACTCAGCAATGCAGTCATTTATACATCTACTTTAAAAATTTCAGTGAGCAAATTCCCTCTGGAATAAACTGAGAATAAAATTTATGTGTTTACTTTTACAGTTAGTCGCTTTGGCAGAACTCGGGCAAAGGAAATGGAACCCTTTAAATAGGTCAAGTGTGTTTTGTAACCCCGGGGATCACACTAACTTCAGACAGAAATCCCCCTTTTTCTGAATCATGGTGTGGTTAAGAATAAAATCATGTGAAGTTCCCCACATTTTAGACAGTCATTAAACTTGGCTTTTAAATTGAATTTAGGTAGAGCTTTATTTTTTCTTTTCTTCAAAAATGCATATCACTGCTAGGAAATGAAACGTAGTGAAGTATGAACAGTATCTGATCTGTGTTAACGTAAAAAGTATGAGAAATAATCTTAGGTCATGTTAGGAACTGAAAGTTAAGCTCTCTTATGAAAAAGAAATAGTATTCATAACTAAAAGGAGAAAAATATATGTAGGGTGTATAACTATAACACTAGCTGCTCTGGAGGCTAAGGCAGGGGCATCACAAGTTTGAGGGCAGCTTGGCCATCTCAGTGAGACTCTTTCTCAAAATGGGAAAAAAAAAACAAGTCAGGTTCAAAGGGACTTTGAGTCTACCTCAGCAGTAGCATACTTCTCTTTCATGTGTGAGATTGAGTGTGTGTGGTAGAGGGACTCAAATAAAAAATTTTAAACTGGGCACACAGTATGTGTTGACCCTAGCAAGAGTAGTGTAATGTGGTGATTTGTGTCTTGCCTCAGTAGTAAATAAATCTCCATGGCAGTGTAGTTAGTGTTTTTTTCACTGTCTGGATTTTATTAGGCATCTGATGGATACTCCAGTTTTCCAAAGTGTTGAATCAGTATTCAGTGTATTAATGCATAATTTATGGAGCTACTCCCTTGGCACACATTTGGATTATTTAAGGTTTTTTTCTTGGTTGTAAATAATGCTAAGACTAATTTCAGGTCCTAAATTGGAAATCTAAAAATTCTGACAGTAAAATTTTATATAAGAAAGAGAGAGAGTGGCCATGAAAGTGGAGAAGCAGAGCAGTAAAATCTGTAATTATCTTAAAGAAACAAACACACTTCTCTGGAGACTATGTACATCTTATGTGGATGTCACTAGTCTTGAGGGAGTCCTTTCAGTGTCTGTTGCTGCTCCTGCTGCTGCTGTATCTTAAAGGGAAAGGACTCTATTGACGATTATTGAGAGCATTGACTCCAGACCTACCTGTGCCTGGCACTAGAGGACTGGGTTTCTGTTCACTTCTGACAGAGAAGAGGGATGCTCACTGGTGCTGGGCTCTGCCTGTGGTGTGACGTGTTGACAGCCGAGTCCTCACCGTATACAAATAAAACCTAAAGCAAGACCAAACAAAGCGAGAGGAAGCATCTTGTTGTCTCAGAGAAGACCGTAAAGGAAATGGGCAGGCTAAAGGATACAATGAGGATGGAGAATAGAAGATTTAAATGGATTGAACTTGCTGGTTACAGGGAAGACTGCCAGTTTGAAGGGGGTTTTTTGTTTTGTTTTGGTTTTGATTTTTTTCTTTGTTTTGTTTTGTTTTTAAATCCAGCTTATATTGCTTAAAGAAAATATAATTCAAAGAAATTCAGATAGGTTCAGAATAAAGCTGTGGGGGAATATATACCACCTAAGTCCTGATAACAGAGTAGACCACAATCAGAAAAGAAGGAAATTAAGGCAACTTTGATGCCAATAGGAATCTAGCCTTACTGCCAAAATTGAGGATAGGTGTCAGGCTGTGATACACGCCTTTGATCTCAGTACTCGGGAGACAGAGGCAGGCAGATCTTTGGGCTTAAAGTCAGCCTGATCTGCCGATGAGTTCCAGGACAGCCAAAGCTATACAGACAGACCCTGTCTCAAAAAGCAACTCCCTACCCCAAAAGACTCCACAAAGAACATAAAAGTAATTATGAGATGTATCTGTGCTGTCATAATTATAGGACAGTGATTATCATTTACAGGAGAAACATATCTATAATCATAATGGGCAGTCATGTGTTTTTGAATATCCTAGGTAAGAAAATCTAGGCACTGAAAACTTGCTCAACGTGATTCAAGAGTTAGTAGACTATGTGTAGAAGACATAAGCATGTCTCAGTCTCAGCCATCATAAGACATCCAGAAAGTTAGTATGGAGCAGACCACATGGCCCGAGGACAGCACAGCTAAACTATAAACCAATGACAAAGCAACAGACAGTGAATTTGGAAATGAAAAATATATGTATAAGAAACCTTTGACTTAAAGAAGATACCACATCAGAAATTTTTGAGATGCTTAAAATAAAGAGAAAGACTGAAAATAGATGTTTGCTGTACCACTTAAGAAGTCTGGGAGGAGCCTGATTTGTCCAGCAAAACCAGAAGTAAACAGAAAGTCAGATGTGAAATTAATGAAATGAAAAAGTGCAGGGAAGCTGCCCATTCACCTACCTTCCGCTGCTGTGTTAAGGAGGCAAGGATAGATACAGGACGAGTGTGTTAGACAAATCTTGGCACTGAGGAGCAGACATCAACAGCTCTGACAGATACTTTTCTAACTTCTGTGAGAATTTTTCCTCCTGAAAAATCTTACTTTCTACTTTTGAGGAGTTTTTCATAGCAAGTTCATGAAATGTGATCTCAAACATTGGGGTGTGGGTGGAGTTGCAGCATCTCCGTGTTAACCATTACTGTAAAGATGAGGAGAGCCATCTCAACACAAGAGAGGGAAGGGCAGCTGTTGTGTGTCAGCTTGCAGATGATGCCTGGGTGAGTCTGTGAGCTGTGTCTTAGCATCTGGTACAGCTAAAATTGGGAGTGTTTTCAAATAACTCAGGTATGGGAGTATTCCACCCAGTGTTGGCTGCAACAGGAAGATGCAAATGTGTGAACAGCTCAGATTCTCTCAGTAGATGACTTGTAGGGCGTTGTATGGTTCAGCTGTGCTATGGCATGTGAAAGTGACAAAGCAAGACTGTTTCTTGACTGGAAGTATGTTAAGGAAAGCTGATTGCATGATATGGTACTCTGAGGGAAAGTGAACACAAAGACGTGTGCAGACAAACACACAGAACGATGCCTGCTTGGATATTGTATGTGCCAACAGATAATACTGTATGAGTGATTGGGGACTTGTAGCCATACAGCCTAAATTCAGAACACTGAACGTAGATCGATTGATTGAAGTAAGATAATGACCTTGTTAATTGGAGGAAGAGGTGTTATTTTGCTCTTCTTGCAAGTTCGTCACCACCCAGTGTTCTTCACAGCTTATTCACATTTGTGCACACACTTAACTCTGCCTACCTACCTTTAAATTGTGTTTGGTAAGGACCTCATGTGGGCCTGAGAAGTTAAAGCTCATGTTGAGTCCTTCTCTGTAGTGCTACCTCCAGTCTTTTGAGGAGCAGCTGTCTCATGAGCCATTAAAGAACTGAGAGACTGCGGTTTCAGAGTACAGACTGCATGACATATGTGGTTAGCTTCCCCAGGGTAGATGAGGCAACCTTCCCAAGAGCAGGGGAAGCCAGTCCCAAGCAAGGCTGGGACAGGGATCTTAACTGACCACAGTTGGGCCAGAGCCAGCCAAAGGCAGCACTTTTAGAATATGGACATGTAAGCAGGATAGGTCAGAGAGTGGCTTCAGTAAAGCAGATGGAGATGGTTTGAAAATAGGCTTCTTTGGATACTTAGCAGCTTCTGGGGATTCAGTCTACATTTCCCTCAGTCCGTGTCTCTGTCTTTCCTGTGTTCTCAATGCTGTCATTTCAGTACACTTCATTATCTCCACATTAAGAGGAAAATCCTTTCACATCCTTAGCTGTTGTTACCCAATTCCTAAGGCAACAAATCTCAATTTATTATATGCCCTCAGAGTTAGAATTTGTTCTTTCCTTTAATCATCTTCTGGAATTACTCTCGTGAGGCTTAAGTTAGCTTCATACTTTTAGCAAACAGTACTTTTAGTGTTTTTAGTCTACATATGCTGGATCCCAGGAATGCAGAAACGAGAGGGTCTAGAACTGAAGAGATAGATAGTGTGGGGAATGTTGTGTGGCTCTTGTGAGGTCCTGGCTCAGCACTACCAGCTGTGTTTCTTCTTGTGCATGCCAGTGTCCTGCCTGCTTGTACTCAATGTGCTTGTATGGATCTCAATTTCTCCTTTTAATCATTCAAAGTACTTACATTTTAATGCACTTTAATTATTTCTCATTTTAATTATTCTTAGGTAGCAGCTTCTGACATGTTTAGAATATGTGTGTAAGCACACACACAAATATACCTATATACACATGTGTGCCTGAGTTAAACCTGAAAGTACTGTAATATGTCAGTGAACACACGGGAAAGCCCACAGAGTGTGTCTTAATCTGTTTCCCTTAGAACACTAATATTTACAAGAATTATAGTTTCAGTGCAATGCTTTTGATGACATTGTACACTTGACTATGTTCCACACACTAAGGGACAGGAATCAAGATGCTAACATCTTTCCCCAGGAGCACAGACAGTTACTGGGCTGTGTGAAACAGAATTAATTGTTCTTTAGGATCAACCCTCATGAGAAGCAGGGCATTCGTGGCATTGTGTATCTATCCTTCAATTCTAGGCCTTCAAATATTAAACAGGTATCGTTTCTACCTTCTCAGGATCTAGCATATATAGACTAAAAGCACTAAAAATATGAAAATATAAAACGGTGTGGTCTACTCCCAAACTCCCACTCCCCAGGAAGCCATCTTGTCATTCTCTGATTTTCCTGCTAAGCTGCAGAGATAGTCTCCTCTGTGTCTGTAATGTAACATTTGATCCTTCTGCTGTCCTGTTATCCTAACTTTGCCTCCCCTTTTAATTTAAGGCATCAACAATTCTCAGAATAAATGTTAGATTCCTTTCAATGTCTTCCCTGACATTCTTGAAAGTGGTGTGTGTGTGTGTGTGTGTGTGTGTGTATGCACGCATGTTTTTAAAATTTATTTCCTTGCCCATAGAGTTGCCAAAATTTCTCGAGATGTTATTTCATCTTTGCATAACCAGACATGTTGACATTAAGTGACAGTTTTTCTCTAGTCACAAAAGGGAGAAGGAAAAAAGTCCCCCTAAAACTCATTGATTAGTATTTAAGAAACTTGCTTAAGCTCTGATATAGTTTATACTCAGAAAAAGCTTACCGAAGAACCAACACAAAAGACTTTGGGCTTTTAAAGTTTTTGAAGTGTCACCATTTAACATTTATTCTGAGAATTATCAATGCCTTAAATAAAGAAGGAAGGCTCTGTTGTCTTCAGGGTTAACAGTGTTTTGAGCTGGTCAGGTGTGACCTCAAGATGGGGTTGGATTGAGATATGCCTTAGGCAGAGGGGTGAGTTCCTTGTGTATGAGCCAAAGAGGAAGCTGTGCTTTGAAGAAGAGCCAGGAGAGCAACTAAGAGCATGGAGACACAGAGAGAAGTTCTCAGTGTGGTGTTGATTAATCCAACTCTTCCCCAGTTGCTGTTGGCTTCCTTTTGGCTATTTTCTTGAGGAACGATAAGATTGTGGAAAAATGCTTAGAGTTGGGAGGAATAAAATGAACAGAAAAGCAAAGGGAACAGCTCACAGAGTGACTGAGTACCAAGGACATTGTCCTCTGAGGGAAGGAGAGCAGCACAGAGGTAGCTGAGGCTGTTTCGATGCCCTTGATAACAAACCTGAGGGAGAAGTCACCCTTGCTCTTTCTCTCATCAGCTAGCATTTGTCAAGTGTGTGGACAGAGCGTCTTTGTTCCTCTTTAAACATCGATGTCTGAGTTTAGCCCAGTATCAACACCAGCAGCACTAGGTCAGCATTTGTTCCTGCCCTGCTTTAGTTGACTGGACAGCTGCTGTGTGTGTGTTGTTTGCCTATAAAATGGGCAGGTAGCAAGTGATACGTCCAGCTTACCAAAGGAATACCTAATTCCATTGGCCTGATTGTTCATTCCCATGTGCTGTCAATAATCAGAACATGCCACAGTGACCTAGTTGAGAAAATGTATTATTCAGTGCTTTCTTTAGCATGGGATCAGTTTTGAATCCTGTTTGATAGCTTTGTTTCTGTCTGTCCACTATTGTCTCATTTTCTCTTATATCCTTCCCCTAAATTGAATAGATTGAGTTGGTTTTATTCAGGGTACAGTTGACCATGGTCAGCGTTTTGAGGGAAGCTCACTTTCTCTGGCTGTTGGAAGTGTGATGATTCAAGGAGCCACAAGATGAGCTTTGTGACACTGCAGCTGAGCCCATGAGACGGTTCATCTTTCAGGCTAAAGTGCCTGACTCAGTGGGTGCTCAGTGAAGACCAGCTGCATTGGAGAGCTACCTGCTGGAGCTAACGCAGTGTGCGGCGTCTGGGAGGATGCTAGATGGGTGAAAACTCTCACCTGTGGATCTGGACATATTCTAGATAACTTTTCTGTCATTTTTCAGACTTATTCCTCTTGTGGCTTTATCAAAGGTAATGATGTTGTGTGTAAGTTACTGTAAGAGTTAAACAGAGGCCACTATCGCACTCATTCCACACAAGGAAGGCAAGTGTGTGGGATTTTACAGGAGGGATCACTAGCCGCATAGTAGAAAGGCCTGTAATGAAGGAGTGTGTGCCTGATGCTCTTCCTCTTAGAGTGCTTCTAGAAATAGCCCGCACTTTGTACCCTCCCAGTTGAAGGGAGTTTCAGGCTTTAAGTTAAGCCTCCTTATTTTGTGGCTATTCTGAATTGAGAATGAGTTGAATCATTTTCTCAGAATACTTCAAGATTACATGGGAAGTCAGGGCTCTGTCCTTCCCCAGCCAGTGGGTCTTTTCCTGCAGCCCCTAACTCTGCCCTGTGCTCTGCACCCCCCCCCCCCCCCCCCGTCTATGTCCTTATCTGCCTGTGTGCCTTTCTGTGACGCTGCTGTCTGCAGTCCTTCCTCTCTTCTCTGTGCAGTGGCCTGATGGCCTTTTCCCTTAAGTCCCCCTTAGCTAGTACCCAGAGACCAAGGGCAGGCTGAAAGCTCAGCAGCACCTGTCCCTTATAACACGCCTCTGGGTCACTGCCATCTTCATTGACCCAGCCTCTGGCTCCTGCCAGAGCAATGCCTCTCTGTGTGGGTCTTTCATTTAGAAATCTGTGACTCTCTTCCTTCCCTGCATCATTAACATGACTCTTCACTAAAACTTCTTTGGAAAGCAGCTGCCCCAGGGAACTTCCTGACCTCTGCTCCCCTCTTCCTCTCCCACTCCACTCCAGGAAGGCAGAGAGTATTGTTGAGATTGTGGCTGTGTCTCTTTCCTGTGGAGCTCTGAGAGTGAGGGTGTGTGAGGGCAGTTCTTACACACCCAAAGATTGAAAAGAATGGCCAAGTCTCAGCTCATGAGTCCTTGCTCTCTGTCAGGAGACAGCAAGCATGATGGATAGTAATGGCTCCTAGTCAGACTCTGCCTTGGAGCACTCACTGAAGCCAAGGCAGAAGCGCCTAAGTGGCTAAAGTCACAGCTGTAGCTGCTAAGTTTAAACTCAGCTCTTTGCCGCCAGAAAAATCACATTCAATACAGGATGTATTATCCCTAGTTCCTGTTTCCAAGACAGAGATAAGTAGAAGTGGGTGGAAGGCAAGTAAAAACAGGAAGGTATTTCAGAACTTTCGACATAAAACTGCTCACTCGTGTCTGAGAAATGATGAAGAAGATAGGTGGACTTAAGTAAAGCAGTCATTAATGTATAGCATGTTTTAAGGTGAGTGCAGGAGAGTTGAGTATTTTGGGGTTTGTTTTGTTTTTAAGATAGGGTTTCCTGTGCTCCTGGCTAGCCTCAAACTGGCTACTATATGAGTGGAAGCTGGTCTTGAGCTCCTGATCTTCCTGCCTCTACCTCCCAAGTCTTGTGATTGAAGGAGTGTAACACCATGTCCACTAAGTAAAGATTTTATAAATGAGTTTATTATTTTTAACAATACTTCAGCAACAAAACATTTTGACTGCTATTTCAACTGAAGAGGAATCGAAGCTCAGCAAAGCTTTATGCTGCTGGTTTACCTTGTTCTGTTTTTAGGGCTAGATGACTATCTGACAATATGCTTTCTGCCCTTGTTGGACTGCCAGAACACCGAGTCTCTGTACCTCCACAGCATGCTGAGGACTCTGCATTGTGATCTAGTCTTGTAACCATGGCCAAGATGGCACAAACAGCCCAGGACAGACAGGAGGACATTGCCTACCTCCAGTATCTTGCCTTTTACTATGACAAAGAGAAGGGCCTCCCTATAAATATTTTCATTTCTTGGTGTCTGCAGGTCAGGATTAGGAAACTTGCATGTACATTTTATATCATAGACTGCTGTAGGCCGACCTATAGTAGCTCTCTAGTAAAAGTCTACCATGCATGCTTGGAAGGCCTGGAGTGAGCTCAGTTGTCACAGAGTTTACTCTGCTAGGTGACTGATCACAACACTAATTAACTCTAGGAAGCCCGCCAAAAGCTTACAAAAGGACTTATTACCACAGCCACCCACGTATCATACAAGCCGGCGAGCGAAGCTGCTTTGTGGAACCGTGTGCCCTAGCAGTTTTAGGTTCACAAAGCACCATTAAGCCCCAGAGACAAACACTCTGAGATACTAGAAAGCAAACCTAGAGGCTTTACATACACTGTTACAGAAAGCAGACATCTTCAGACAAGATCAAGAAAATAATTTGTAAGAAGTGATAGATAGGCCAAGGAACCCTTGCTCTTCTGATAGGCAGGGTGGGAGTGGTGTGAGTGTTCCAGCACCTACTCTGAGAGACAGTCGGAGAAAGACTTGGCAGAAACAGTTCTCCCCACTTTCTGAATGAAGCAATCAAAGCCAGAAACCTTCAGCAACGTGCGTGGGGCCGAGCAGTTCTAAATGATGGAGCCTGGGTTTAAGGACTAAGACCAAGCCCACCCTTAACGTTACACTCTCCTATACTCTGGGATACCCTTACCAGAGAGTACCAACACACCTTCGACGACCCCCAGTTTTCTTTAAAGGAAGTCCCTTCATGGCTTACATTCTGTTAGACATTTCTCTTAACTTCTGCTCTTACCCTGGAAATTGAGTTTTTAAATCACTACATATAATCTTTGTTTTACAATTCTTTTTCAACATTTTTAGAATATAAATGTGGAGGCTCATTTAGCATTACTGGTCACGTAATAATAGAAACCAAATAACAAATTTTATTTTTCACTTAAAATAGTTGGTCTTTAGAATGATTTTGCTTCTGAGGCAGCAGAGCCCAGGCTGATCAGTCATCTTTTGCTGGTGGGAGGATAAATTGATAAAATATTTTTACAAATTAGAAAATACTATTCTATATCTGATGCTTTAGAAAATAAACCCCTTACCCCGGAAAGTCTGCTGCTGATAGTCTGTCCTGAAAAAAGTTATTATCAGAAATACTTTTCTGTGCATAAATGCATGCCAGGTAGTCAGATGTAACGAGTTGTTTAAAATTAGACTAAATGGTTATATTGTATATAAACTATATCCAAATCCAGGAATGCTCTGTCTCAGCACCATTGTTCCTTTCTCTTTATAGTAAAGAATCCTGAGATGTTGATGTTATTTGCTGATATTTACTTGTATTGTGAGTTCATACCAGAGTTCATAAAATAATGTTTCATTCATTCCTTCCATCTCAGGAGCTACTTTGAGCTGCCAGTAACCTCAAGGAAATCTAAACAGCCAGCTATTACATCTAGTTATTTAATATATTCTTTTTCCTTCACTTTTGCCTTGAAACTTAGGTTTTCAAAGTATTCCTTAATTTAAAGAGAAGAATGTCAGGTACTTACATATCAGAGGATGGCTAGGGCTTCCGTTGTGACAGTCCGTGCTTGCCCAGACTGGAGTTAGCTAAGCTGGGCATGTTGCTTTAAGAGCAACTGAGCAGGCGTCCTTTTATGGTGGTGCCTTTTTCCTGTCATCCTGTGACTGAGCATAGCTGTGATCAGTTAACCTCACATATGCTACATGCTTTTTTTCAAATGGGAAGTGAAATTTTTTTTTCTGATACTGATTTTAAAAAACTATTCAAAAGCCCCTTGGACTTTGTAAATTGCTGATATCTATGGAACTTTAAAAAAAATTTCCATAAAGATTTAAGTAGGTCTTAAAGTTTTTTGAAGCAATAAACTTTTAAACAGAAAGAGGGAGAGGGGAGAGAGATAATATAGTTATTGGTGACTTTATGTTGATATTTTACATAAAGTTTAGGTTAAGGAAAAATGTCAAGTGTAATAGTGGTGTCTGTCTGGAAACATGGTAGTATCAGGAGTGTAGTGTAGTGTCTGAATTTGAACCGCTGTGTCAAAGATGGGTTTCTGTGGCTTTGGTGAGGGAGAAGGGCCTTCCTTGCATGTAAGTTAGTTAGATTTTCAGTGTCAAAGACAGCTGACTGACTCAGTGACAATGGACACATAAAGATTGAGGAGAGTTGAGAGACACGTTACTGATGAGTCTAGCCTCAGGTGCACAGTACCAGAGAGACCTGCTCTGGTTCCATGATGCTTTGAGCTCACTCCTTGAACTCAGAAGGTACCATTCTGCATATAGTGTTCTTGGCAAGCCAGAGAGTTGGCTGTCACTCATGCCCACTTGTGGTCTGGCCTGTCATACCTGGGTGCTGCTTTTGGAAGGACAGGACTCATTTGTGCTCGGGGCTGGGTGTGGAGGACAGTGATTGCATGTACAGAGAGTGTAGCCCTCACAGGACCGCAGCCCCACCTTCCTGCAGAGTGGGGTCTTACACTGCTTCTGTCACTTGTCCTTATTCTGGGGAATAGAAGATGGGTCCCTGAGGATGGGGGCTGCAGAGGATTTTCAAGCCAAACCCACAGACAGCTCTACCTTGTTTAAAATGGAATATGCTTTAAAAGGAAAAAAAGCACTTTGGTAAACTGGTTGATTTTGAGGGATTCTATAGGGAGAATTGAATCATTTTGATAGGAAATTGTAGCTTTTTGCCCCCAGAGGCCTTAAAAGTTTTTCAAAATCATATTTTATTTATTTTGTATGTGGGTGTTAGCGTACTTGCACATGTGCCTATAGCATGTGTGCCAGGGCATACATAGATCAGAGAACAACTTTTTGGGACAGATTCTTCAGATTCTGGATCCTAGGGATCAAAGGCTTGGGGACAAGTGACTGTCCTCTTAGCCATCTTAGCAACCTGTCAGTGGTGGACGCCCTCTTGGCCTAGGCTTCTGTAAAATTGCCTTTCAGTTGTGCTGTTAAAGGTCTGCAGAGGAAAACCGAAGAGCAAGCACCAAGTCAGTGGAATTCTTGGACACTCATTTGTTATGTATACAATAAAGGCAAGTGAGAGCCAAGATAAGTCACCCTTATGACGAGGATGCAAAGGCTTTGTGACTTGATAGGGTAAACTTGGCATAACCTGGAACCAGTTCACTTTATACACCATTGAGGGCCCAGGATGTGGCCTAGTGCAGATAGTATTAGTGTGTGCCAGGCCCTGGCTTATATACCTAGCACTACATATAAGCAAAATGGGATTGGCACATACTAAGAATTTTCAGTTTGTTGAAAGGCCATCTTAGTGGAATACTTTTTGAAGGCCCAGCTAGTTAAAGCAGGTTTTATGGCAAATAGAATCCATCTTTTTTTTTTTTTTTAAAGACAAGATGGCTGGCCCAGGATTCATAGAAATCAGCCTGCCTCTCCCTTCTGAGTACCAGGATTAAAGGTGTACGCCTCCAAGCCTGATGGATCCAGCCTATTTTTGGTATAAGAAGTGTATGAAGAAGAGCTAGAAGCCTGCAGATGCTGCATGGGAGATAAAACACTAAGCTCGTTCTGTTGTTGAAAGTTACAATGCTGTCTTTAGCAGTGGCCGTACTGTACCAGCGAAGTCAGTGTTCCATAGAAGTGAGGTGGACATCTGTGTAAAGTGTTTTCTTTGCTCTCTCAAGTGTAGTCATGAGTGGGTCATGAGTGTGGAGTAGGTACTCAGTAATTAGTAATGATACTAAAGGAATAAATCAGTTATCTCCTAACTGATTCTTTCTCTTCTGTGCTTCTAGCTCTTTGCTTAAGATAAGGCTCTCACTTAAGATAAGGCTCCCAGAAGTTAGCTGTTGACACTACCTAAAAGGTCACTATGAATGACTGTTGCCAGTGTAAAGAACAGATGTTGTCAGAAAATAAGGAAAAGGGAAAAACTGGTCAGTGACTAATAACATTATGGTATTTTGTGACGCCTTGTGTATATAGAAATAGCAACACAAAATTTCAGCAAAACAACCCAGATAGTCCTGTTTAAAATGTGTGCCTTTGCACTGTTCCCACATGTGGTCTCCTACTTAGTCATCATTGAAGTGGTACAGTGATTAGTGTCTAAGGACTTTTTGCACTTCTTCCCTTGCTGGATAAGATACAAGCTGTGGGCACTGAAATTACTGTCATTTACTTTCTGGGAGGGTGGAGGTTATATTGAATTGTGACCTCAAGCAAGAGCTGTGCTTCAGGCTGTTTGATGACATTATTTTTATGTTGCATTTGTTGATAAATGTAAAGAGAAAGCTCCTGTGAGTTGAGAAGCTGCAGATGTGGTTGGGGGTGGGGAAGAGGACAAGGGAGCCCCAGTGCAACTGTTTAATAAAGTAGGGTTTTCTTATTTTTTTAAGTTTTTTTTTATTATTTTAAGTTATGTGTCTGTGTAAGTGAATGTTATATATGTGCAAGTGCCTATAGAAGCCAGAAGAGGGTGTGTGATTGTAGTTGGAGTTACAAGCAGTTGTAACACCGGATGTTAGTGCTGAGGACTAAACTCTGGTCCTTGGGTGAACAGCAAGCCCTATTGGCACAGAGTCTGTCCCTGAGGGTTTGGTATTTCTCAGAGAATACCAGGCCATTGTCTTGTTATGTGTGTTGAATTTTCTGTTTGTTTTTGATTGATTGATTGTTTGTTTTTGAGACAGGGTCTTAATATGTATCTCTGCCTGGTTTCCAATTTACAGAGATCCTCCTGCTTCTGTCTCTCAAGTGCTGAGATAAAAGGTGTACCGTCACACCTAGCCTTAACAAACCATATTCTGAGTACAGACATGAAACTTTGCTTTAATCCTATTAAAAGTGATGAAATTAGAAAATGTTTTTTAATTATAAATTTATATGTGAGTGTTCTGCTTACTTGTATACCTACCTGTTCATGTGTGTTACGGATGGTTGTGAGCCACCACACGTGTGCTGGGAATCGAGCCCAGGTTCTCTGTAAGAACAAGTGTTCTTAACTGCTGAACCTCCCCCCCCCCCCCGTGTGTGTGTGTGTGTGTGTGTGTGTGTGTGTAATAAAAAGGCTAAGTTCTGCTATGCTTTTCTTCCATTTCTTTAACTTGTTATTGATCCTTTGTGAATGTCACACTATGCACCCGGTTCCACTCCTCTCATCCCTTAATAACCTCCTTCTATCCTTGCAGTTTCCCCTAAAAGAAAGTAAAGAATAAAGATAATGCAAAACAAACAAATCTTGTCCTGTCAGATGTAGTGTCACAGTGTCCCACAGTATACCCTTTTGTCCAAACCTCTTTACTTGCAGATGTTCACTGAATGAGTCCTTGGACTAGTTCGAGGCCTCTGGCTTCTGTCACACTATCAATACTAGATGAGGGAGAGGCCCTGGACTCCTCTTGGATCTCCTGTTGTTGCCCTGTGTCATCGAGATCCCACAGCTTTGGGTCTGCAGGACCAGCCCCTTTGCATGCTCCAGCAGTTCACAGATTCATAGATGGAGTAGCTGTTGGGCTAGGCTAACTCAAAGCCCTGGATCTAGGCCTGGGTGGTAGCCAGGTTGGTTAGCCTCCCAGCTCTCCCACACTCATGCCACCAGGGCCAGCTCTACTGTGCTGCCCAAGTGCAGGGAGTGCTGCAGCTAGCCAGGAGTGGGGCCAGCTCTCCCACCAGTTAGGGACAGCTCTGTGCAGCCGTTGGATATCAACATGGTCCCAGGTGGCAGCCCAGACCAGGGACATCCACATGGTCTTTGGTGGTGACATAGGCCATGAACACACACTCCTGTTGCTGCATAGCCATAGACCCAGACATGGCCTCATTGGCAGCCCTGGCTGCGACCTCACCATGGCCATATGTGTCAGGGCTGGCTACTCACAGCAGGCTGTTCCCCTCTACCCTCGTCTCCAGTTACACCTCTCTTCATAATGCTCAAACCATTTCACTTCTTTTTCCGTCCCACCTCTCCACCACATACTTGCACATGGTAGTGACTCCCCTGTGAGCGGGCCACTAGGTTGGCAGGCCTTCATGCTCATGCTACATGACAGCAGGCCACTATTGTAGTATAAGGGAAGATTTATTTGTTGTACAAATTTGTGTTGAGAATGATCAGCTCTGAAGAGTGAGAAAAAGTGACCAACAAAACAGCCAGAGTTAGTTAGGCAGTGAGATGTCTCTGCCCAGTGACCTGACTTCAATCCCTGGAACCCACAGTGGAAAGAGAACTCCCAGAGTTGTCCTCTGACACCCACTCATGTTCTGTGGCACACACTCTCCCTTCCCCACAATAGCAATATTTTTCTAAATATTTAAAGGCCAATGTCCCTGTCTTGTTTTTGTGTTCTGAGTGGGAAGAGAGGTGCTGCGTGAGTGGCTTCCACAGATTGGGGGGTTGGGAGGTACCAGGAGAAAGCTGGGCTGGTAGGGAACACAGAGTAGGATGGAGTTGTGGTCTGGGAGGGCTGCTCTGCTCTGCACAAATTGCTGCTGTCAAAGCTGAGGAACAGGTGTGGGAGCGGGCACCATGGGGCCATGTTTGAATTTGGGATTTACTGAGGTAGGGTGCCCTTGGAGGTTTTTAAGCCTACAGGTGACTAACTTGTTCTCCTGGATGAAAAGAAAGCATAGCTGCTTAATCAGCTGTGTTTAGGGCAGGGTTAGGCAAATGCTGTTGT